ACTTTAGAAATTTTTTAAAAGACGTGATTTCTTTTTTTTGGCGGGGGGTAATAATGTTAATTTTACATTGACTCTGCCCGTGTATTTGCAGCACTGATTTGTTTGGCGCCAGTCAAAAATGTCCATCCTGGAATCTTCAATTATGCCTTTTCATCGCTGCGTCTCGTACAGATTGTTATATTTGTTTAGCAGATTGCTTAAATCCAGTTTATTAATTACCCTTTCTGCCCAGCTTAAACTGGAATTGACAGTTTTCTAGATGAATATGATAATCAGTGGTCGTGTAAACCCAAGTTGGAGTTGGATTCCAAGATGGCGATTTTAGATTGGCTCCAAAAAAATCCGGGTTGTCAATACAGCAACAGAAAAACTGTGCAAATAACACCCCCCCCCTCTAAAATCCCTGGATTACTTGGGAGTGCCGATGAAGAGCTAAGTTGGAAATTGTAGATTGCAAGATTGGCGCCAAACAAAACAGTGTTGCCAATGCCTGGGCATAAAAACGACGCCTCCCTACATTCACGGCACGCAACACTGACAGATAAGGGCTTGTGAATGTCTTGTCTTTTAAGGCCAAGACCTATTGTATAACCCCAAAAATATTTAATTGTTTTCTTCATTTAAACCTCAATAACAGTGAGAGCCATATTTAAAAAAAAAAGTTTATTTGTAGCCTGCAGTTTCCAAACTAGTTTGAGTAAAACACACCAATAAATTTTGATATAATTGTGACATTCGGTCGGATGAACATCTTAGATCTGGTAAAGCATCTCGGAGTATATCCGGTCTGTGTCAGGCAGTATGAAATCCGAATTTTGTGAATTTTGATGTCACTTGTTAGATTCGGTCTTATTGAAGAAAAAAAAATCGAAAACACCTCCATGCTTGTTTCTCTTGCGAGATCGATCAACTCGGTTTTGCCGGATGTTTTAAATTGGGGTTGGGACTTTGAAGACGGTAACATCCTGCCTGATCTTTATTAACGTATTTTCTCTTGCACCATTGTTGCCTCTTTCTCTCTATTTTACATTTTCAGATGCCCAAGATTATTACCCAGATTGCGATCTCTTTCTTGGAAAATGGCTAATTCGTCTCTTCTTATTCAACTGTTTTTTTTTCGTTCCGCTAAAGCCTGGGCTTGTTTTGTTTTCATATCGCGCATTGTCTAATTGTGTATCAATACGTTTAACATGCCGTCACGAACGCAAACATTCTCAGCTTAAAAGAAAAAAAAATATCAAAAGCTATTTCACTCTTTGTAAATATTGTTCTTGTTTCTTTCTGCACTAACATTATGCATCACTTATTTATTAAGTAACTCTATATTTACATTCTCAAATGCCATCCGGTAGGGCAATTTCTTAAATACGTTTTGACAACCTCCCTCGTCCGAGTCTCAAAATTCTTTATGCTCAATCGGATCCTCTTGCAGCAATAAATGCGATCTAATTTTGGAAATTGGCTAATTAGTTCAAATTAGTTATTAATTTGACCAATGTTGGAAAGTATTCCTTGCTTTCTAATGAGAAATAATTGGGGCCCGTTACAGTCCCCTATTGAATTAAGGGCATGCGGCGGCTTCACTTTCGTGATTTCAGGTGTTTCCTGGGAGCCGGTCGAGAATCGGACGACGCCATGGAGCCCACGGGCAAAAATCCCATTCTCTTCTAATCATAAGTCATTTTCACCTTCCTCTGTCTATTTTTATCAGTCCGAGACAAACGATACAAGCCGAAGAAGCTGAACAAACCGGGTTCTGTTCGTCTATGTTCATTGAGTGGGCCTCCCGTCGAAAATTTTGAAAACTTAGAAGTTGAAAAGCTTATACATTAAAAGAAATTTGTATAGGATATTTACAAAAGTATGAAGATTCTAAATGGGGATTTAGATTGGCGCCAAAGTAATTAGTGTTGCGAACACCGGGCAGAAAAGCTGCAGGGGCAACACTGCGCCGGACCCTGATTCTATGGGATTTCGTGCTAACCTTGAATAAAATTGGTAATGTTGTTCCCGCCAAAAATGGGGCAAAAAAAGGGTTAAAATATATCAATGCATATGAGTTGCAGTCATGGAGATAAGCCATGGTCCAAGTCTAAATTCTAACAAAATTGCCTAAACCATTAGGCAAAAAAGGTATTATACAGTAAAATATGTATAATATAAAATTGGTGATGGTGGCGTATATTATAAGTGAGGTGCAGTTGTGGTGATGATATATGTTGGAGATTGAAATTTCCAAGATGAAGATGTTAGATCGATTACCCAAAGTTTCAATTCAGGGGCAACACTGCACCCAACCCCAACTCCACGGAATTTATCGCGAACCTTTAACAAAATTGGTAAAGTTGTTATTCTGAACCAAAATTGGCCAAGAAAAGGTTCAAATATGGCAATCGATACGAGATGCAGTTATTGTGAAGAGACATATCTGAAATTTTAGATTCATGCCAAAAAATCAATGTGGCTAATACAGGGGCAGAAGCATTGCAGGGGCGACCCTGCACCAACCCTAACTTCACGGGATTTCTCGCTAACATTCAACAAAATTTTGAAAGGTTGTGTTGCTTCGAGTTGAATATTTCCATCCGGGAATCTTCAATATTCAATATTCATTTCCACCTTGTTAAAATCAAGTTTATAAATGCCCTATTTAGCTCCCCGTTGGCTCAGAACGGCATTATCAAGTTTAAGATTGCACTGAAGTCGGTGAGGTTAAGTTGAACGCAGTGTTGTACATGTATTGTTTTTGCCCGTGTATTGGCAACACTGATTCCTTGGCGCCAATCGAAATTTTCCCTCTTGGAATCTTCATTCTCCAACTTTAGAAAGAGAAAGAGCAACTCCTTACCCGCACTACATCTCTTATTAATACCAAATTGTTATATTGGCTTAACAGATTGTTAATATCCTTTTTATAATCAACCCTTTCTGGCCCAGTGTTGGCGAAGAGCAAACATTAGCAATTTTGTTAAAGGTTAGCGGTAAATCACATTAGTTTATGGAAGCCTCATTAGTTCCTGCAGTGTTTATGGTGTTTTGGCTCCTTCAATCCTAGTAGTTTTTCGTAATTGTTTTATAGTTTTCTCATTGATTTTTTAAATCTATATTTTCATATTTCTATATATTCTATCAGAACCAATGGAGTAACGGAAATGAAGGAAAATAATATTTTGTAGGTTGCTGTTACAAAAAGAGGGGGAGGGGGTTCTTAGCCAATAACCATATTTTCAAAGTGTTTTCTGTCATTGTTACGTCAGTTCCATTTTAGGACTTTACATATTCCTATAATGCACGCTCTCCGATTTCAGTCAGTTGATTTCTTTCGAAATAACATCGACTTGGCGCGCAATAGAGCGTTAAAAAAATAATTTTGCACATTTTATTATCGTATGCTTACAACACATAATTTCAAGGAGGATGTTTATGTGGTTTTAGCTTTCTTTATGTGCGTGCGTTTAAAATGCATATTTTCTCTTATCTTTCCGTTGACTCGGTACAGCGTATAATAAAAACCGTAAGGCTTTTTCCCCCCTTCGCATTGGGGAAATATTTATCACTGGAAATATTCTATAGATATCTCGTTATGTGTTTTTCCTTGTATAATACTATATTAGGTTTGGGGACAGATAATATTAGAAAAGGAATGCGTGAGTAGGAGTCACGCGAGATACCCGGCTAATATTTATATTAACTAAGAATTAAATTTATTTCGAAATTGGAGATAGAGAAAAAGTGAGAGAGAGGGAGATAGGACTGTTTGAGGCAGGGGCAATTTCCAGGCTAAATGGAAACAATTATTAGTTTTGGAGGAGTGGTGTTATTATAGGAAGGTTCCGTGACCGATAATTATATAGCCAGGTTACAATAAAAATTTTCAAATTATATCTTGTGACTGTTGGATTATCGCGGCGGCGGTGTGGAGGGGGGCAGGGATCTTCGGAGAATAATCCCACAAAAAGGCGACGCGGAGTGTTGGGGCCGGAGAACTATTACAGATAATCAAGGGTGTCGAGAGTCCTTTCGATTTTGTACTCCCGCAGCAATCAGGTTGTATTAGCGGACAAAAAACATACAACAACCGACAGCTTATATTCGTTGTTTATCCGGCTAAACAATAAAAAACCGCCCGTGCTCAAAATTTTCAAATATTGTTAATAATAAACGATAAAAAGTTGATTAAATGGCACCCTAGAATTTGGGGGGAGGGTTAACCTAACCTCAGTGATTTATTTGGTAGATTTCATATTACCGCGACCAAAATTTGCCACTTACAGTATTGGATCTTAGAGAAACAAAAAGGTTTAATTATTTCTTCCCCAAAATCGTTTGGGCAAGAAAAGTGAAACCAAATTGGACAATTTGGTTAAAAATTAGCGTGAAGTCCAGTCAGTTTAGGGTGAGCGAGCTTGTCCCTGCTTGGTTTTCGTGTATTGGCAACACTGATTTCTTTGGCGCCAATATAAATTTTTCATCTTGGAAATTTTATTCTGCCACTTGACTCTTCACCAACATTGCATTGTCGCATTTGCCTAGCACATCCGTGATTTGAGGGGGCGAACTATTGTTACTACACTTTTTCTCCTCGTGTATTGGCAACATTGATTTCTTTGGCGCCAATCAAAAATCTCCAACCTAGCAGGTTTCTATTATATTGCAGCATTTTCTTATTTTTTATTTATATTGTTGTCAACTGTTATAAATATTGTATAAGAGTCATCCTTCAGAATTTGTTTAATGCTGGTTTGATATAAGTTTTTCTTTTCTACTCTTATATTTATCTTGCTAACTACTTTTCATGGTATAAATACTCTTAACTGGACTCCCTTAGGCATAGGATTAATCAAATCTATATTGTAATTCGTGTAAAGTGTATTCATTAGTAGTAGTGTTGTAAACGGCATGGAAATTTAAGATAGTTTTTGCTGAAGGTTATTACCTCCAATATGTTTTTGAATGAAATTAATTAAAGCAGTAGTTTAATTATTTTTTTCGCTTTTCAGAGCAATGCCGAAATGAGCGAACCGGAGGAGGACGTCAGGGACCCGCCGAGCCTTGTCAAAATTAAACAGGTGAGGGAACGAAATTTCTCCCTCCGGGAGGCGAGTCGTATGGAAAAATAGCCTTTCAGGGCTTCTTCATTTCAGAGGGAAATCTGTATAAATTACCTTTTGTACAGAGCGAGAACGGGCATTATATAGGAGCTGGGAGGCACAATGGACTCATTTTCCTATCCTTATTAGTATTCAGTCCTTAGATTCGACTCCATTGATAGTGATACACTCAACTCAGTTGTCTCCTTTGGAATATAAAAGTCAAAGAGACGGTTATCGAAATAATGCGAAACTTCGAGGCCCAAAGGACTTAAATCAAATCTTCTTTTCTTGTTTTTTACATTTGGCACCTAATGTCAATATGTCAATATTTCACCGAATCAAACGTGGAAAAAGTCTCGTTTTTTTGTGGATGGTGTTGGATGAATAAATGAACAGCAGTTGCACCACCAAGTGTGTTGTTGAGAAAAATGCGCGCAGATATTCAAAACTTACAGACCCCAGTGGACCACCAAACTCACTCAAACGAAAAACAGGTATTAGCTCTAGTTTGAAGAATCCAAGATAGATTTTAGATTGGGACCAAACAAATCAGTGCTGCAACACACGGGTACAAAATCTGTCACACTGCTTGCCCGGCTTAAACTTGCTTAAAATATAAGTGTTACGAGATGTGCTGGTGAAGAGCCACGTTGAAGATTGAAGTTCCAAGATGGAGATTTAGATTAGAGCCAAACAAATCATTGTTGCCAATACATAGGCAGAAAAGCTGTATGAACAACACTGCGCCCCTCCTATATTCACGAAATTTAACGCAAACTTTTAACAATAATTGCTCAAGTTGGTGTTCACTAAGCCAACATTGGGTCACAAAGGGTTATTTTATAAATTGGATTTTAGGAAGGTGGGGTGAAGAGCCATGGTGGAGATTGAAGATTCCAAGTGGGAGATTTGAGATTGTTTCAAAAGAAGTCAGCGTGTGTCAAATGTGTAGGAACAATACTGCCCCGACTAATTCTCACGGGATTTAACGCTCACCTTAAAAAAAAAATTGTTGTTACTCTGAACCGACATCAAGCCAGAAAGAGTTAATTTAAAAACCGGATTTTAAAAATTCGCTTACCAAATATACCAAATGATACAAGATGTAATGCTGGGGAAGAGCCAAGTGGGTGATTGAAGATTCCAAGATGGAGGTTATAGATTACCGCCAAACTAATCAGTGTAGCCAATACGCGTACAAAAACATTGCAGGGACAACACTACGCCCGCGCTAATGTCTCAGTTGGTATCTCACCGAATTCAACTGAGAGGAAGTCCGGTGTTTTCGTGAGGATAATATCTTTAAGTTTTTCTTTTCTTTAATGAGACTCCACCTAGGTAAAATTTGTTGTGAGGTTTCTTCTTAGGGTCTGCGGATTGATGAACCTTGTCGTTTTTGGTCCGACAGTTTCATCGTTTGAAAATCTATACGGGGATGTTGTAATCGCCGTACGGAATAATAGTTCACGTTGATTGTTTTCCTCGTTTTGATCGTAATACACTTGGAACGAATCGACTTTTGTTTGCGCTTTTAAGTGCTTCCCGGTCGGCCGCCGTTCTTCTAATCCCTTTTCGATCGATTCGTTTAATCGTTGAAAAGCTAACGCTTTTTATTACGATTTAGATTGACCGTTTACTCTTTCCCGTTATCCGCTTTCTAAATCTTTTTACTCCGCCTTGGTAAAATTTTGGAAGTTTGGAAAGTTCGCTGTATTTGTATCGATTGAATCTTTTTCCTTGTCATTTCGTTCTTATACTACAAGTATTACATTATGTTCTTATGTTACATTGCTGTATTTTTTCCAGGGAGTCAATAGACGAAAAATAAATTAGTTAAAGTGTTTTCTCGATTTTTTCCCCAAAACGCCTGCCCTCAGGAGCAAATTACTACTCCCGGCTATCTTTTTGGCTCCCGTTTAATAAAAGAGGTACCGTAGCCGTTTTACCTGGCTTCTGTGATCTATGGGACGGAGGTGCCTAAATGGTCGAGACCATTCACCAGCACTTGTTTACGATTCCGGGCTCCTTTTTTCCACCTTGGCGTTTCTTTAACGCCGTCTCGGCAACGCCCCAAACACTCGACACCAATTATTAATTGGAATCACCAACAAATTACTGGACGCGAGGTCACAGGGGCAGTATTATCAAGTGTACGATTCGTTTGATCAAACTATTGCGACGCGTGGGGTATGTGAAGTAGCAGAAACCTATTGCCTGTTTAAAGATACACCTTTATCATAAAACGATTGTTGCCCATCAATTCTGTTAAGAAACTAATATAATTAAAATTAATTTGGTGTTAGATAATAACAAGGGTTATAAAGAAAAGAAAAGGCACGATTGAAGATTCCAAGAGGGAGATTTTTGTTTCGCGCCAAAGAAATCAGTGTTTCCAATACACGGGCTGGAAAATACAAGGGCAACACTGCCACGCCGTATAGGTGGTCCTCCATGAGATTTTCCTGTTAACCCTGAACAAAATGGATAAAATTGGGGTTACTACATACAACATTGGGCCAGAAAGGGTTAATTTATAAACAGGACGACTTTTCTCTGGACGTTAAACGTTGATGATGCCTTAAAATATAAAACGGCCTACTTTTCCAATATTCCCGAATCCAACTGCACCCGTCCGGGTAATAGAACTAAACTATAAATATTTCCAGGGAATCGAAAAGTGATCACGGCTCAATGTTTGTTCTAATCAGTATGTTCTAATCACTTGTCAAATTATAAAGAGAGTGCGAAATAATCCTCTCCTTTGATTTTCCAGTTTCAACGAGGACAGAATCAACACCTAGTCTCAAACGAGAAAAGAGCGGGTTTTGTCTCGATATGAGTACAAATATATTAGTCCTCCTTTATTGTTCTGTTTTGAAGAGGCCAGAGCACGGTTGTTTTTAGATAGATTCATTCCTTGATCACTGTCAGGCTGAAATTAATACACGACAGGAGGAAGCAAATACAAGAGGGAGATAAAACCAAACGTCTATATCATGGATTGTATATTGGCCACCATTTTCATGTTTACTGAAACAGTACAAATAATTTAAAACAAAATGGCTATTGTTTGTTCCTCTTAGGATTAATAATTAAGCCAGAAAGGGATAAACTGGAAATAGATGACAAATTATAACCAATCGGTACGAGATGCAGCGGTAGTGAAACTCATTTTGGAGAAGAGATTTCTATATTGAGACTTTAGATCAGGTCTAAATAAATCAGTGTTGCCAATACACGGACAGAATTGCAGGAACAACATTGCGCCATTTTTAATCTCATTGGACTTCCCGCACATCTTTGGCCAAATTACAATTGCTAGACTCTAAGATGGATATTTTTACCGCCGAATAAATCAGTGTTGCGAATACATGAGCAGAAAAACTGCTGGGGCAACAATACACCAAGCCATAAATTCACGCGGTTTCCCCTGTTATTTTCAACAAATTGCTAATTGCCCTTCTGAACCAACATTGAAGAAGAAAGAAAGGGTTAATTTATAAACTGTATTTGAACAGTCTGCTAGAGGAATTACAACATCGATAGGAGATGATGTGGTGCAGAAGAGCCATATTGGAAAGCGAAGATTCCAAGATGGTGATTTTAGATTGGCGCCAAATAAATCAATGTTGCCAATTGCAAAAATACAGCAGGGACAACATTGCGTCCGTCCTAAACTCACGGGATTAGATGAATCTTTAGCAAATTTGTTAACTTTGGTGTTGTCGTGAGGCTTGAACTTAGGGCAAGAAAGGGTTAAATCTTTTTCCGTCCCCTTTATGACATATAGCGAAATGCCGAAATTCTTAAGAGAACGGTTAAATCTCGTCCTCGATTTTTGGCATTGACAGAACAGTCTGAAATATAATTTTCTGTGTCTTTCCACTGATTCTTCCACCGTCCGTTTTCCTATTCTTTTATTCACTATGCGGGAGGGGCTGGATTACACTCGACTACCTGCAGGGTGAGGCCCGACTGTCGCCTACCCCCGGGCCGCACACGGGGACTCCTGCCACTCGAAACAGTCCCGTCCTGGAATTGCGTCACGGGATTGAATTAGATCGGAATGCCTAATTGGGTCTTTTATTTTCTCCGCCGGCGAGTCCGTTCTGGTGGCTTTCTTCATTCATATGATTCATTCTTAGAAACTCTGGATTCAGTCGATTATTAACTTTTTTCCCCCCTGCCCTCTCTCGTCTAATTTTCGACATGCAACCCGGATAACGATGCCGTGCGGGCCGAGATTGAATTCAATATTTTCACATCCTCGGGATTGACTCGGAATTACTTTCAGGTAAGAAGTGACCAAATATGTCACACACAAAATTGTCATAAAAAATGATGCAATGTTTTGGATTTTTCCCCGAACCCACACAAAATTTTTAAAATTACGATTGGGTATTTCTAACCTAAATGGGAAATGCAGTGGTGGTGGTGAAGAACAATTTTGAAGTTAAATTAAAAACGTGGAAACAACACTGCGCCAAGCCTTAGCCTCTCGTGATTTCTTTCTAACCTTCAAAAAAATCACTAAAGTTGGTGGGGCTGTGAGCCAACATTGAGCCAGAAAGCATTAATTTATAAACTAGGTTTGAGCAATCTGATAGACTAATTTTACTATTCACTTGAGATGCAGTGGTCCTGAAAAGCCGTGTTGGACATTGAAGATTCTAAGATTAATATTTTTGGCGCAAAATAAATCAGTGTTGCGAATACACGAGCAGAAAAAATGCAGGGGCAACATTGATTATTATTTTAAGAATGTTCACATAAGCACTTGTTTTTCTTTTGTTTTCTTCTTTCACACTTTAACCTGGTGGCCAAAATTGTTGGAAAATATCCATCTGACGAACATATATGGCCAATCAGCTCAGTACTGAAAGCAAAAAAAAAAAAATCCATCTGAGGAACGTATTGTCCAATATTTTGGACGGTTCCTGGTTCGACGTTCTTTCTCTCTTCAGACTCGACATTTTTACTTTTCAATTTAAACTGGATTCGATTTGCGTTCCACAGCTGTTTCGAAACGGTCGTAGACGCCCGGATGCCGGGGTAGTTGACTTTCAGTTCAAGTTAAGTGCGAATTAAGTGAAAGTCTACATTTATTATTTGTTATTTTGATTTGAGTCTGAATTCCGAGCTAGGAATTTGCAATCGTTTTACGATTTGTAATGAGTCGTTTTCCAAGAATTGTCTCTTTTATATAAAACTAGTAAACACTCCGCCTTCAAAAAGATCGAACCTATCATGTCTCCTTTTCTCACAATTATAAATTCGTTAAAGTTTTTAAATGATTCATAACAATATAACAATCAAATGAATGTTTTTACCACCCCTGAAACGTCCAGGAAACCGATATAGAAGATTTCGCCAGGTATCGTTCAGGTAGACAGTGATTGACGATCGCCAGACATCACAGATCAAACAAATCGGTTTGATAATGGTGCATAGGTAAAAAAAATCTCTTATAGACCTTCTTCCCATTACAATAAGACATTCACTTTGTTTGTTTTGAATTTTAATTGGTGAAGTCGCCTTTTTACAGAAACGAAAACGTTTAGTTATTTGGGGGATTGCAAGAGAACTTTCACGATGGAGATTTTAGATTGGCGCCAAAAAGTTCAGTGTTGCTAATACACGTACATAAAAACTAGGACAACACTGCCCCCCCCCCCATAATCAAATTGAATAAGCTTTTCTTGTCCAGAGCCAACATTGGGCCATAAAGGGTTAATTTATTAACTGGATTTGACTAATGTTGTTGGAGCAATTTTAGAGTTTGTAGAAAATTCCAAGATGGAGATTTTACATTGACTTTCAGTGCGCCAATACACGGGAACAAACACTGCTTGGATATCCCCCCCCCATTAATATCACCTAACCTAACAAGCTTGCTTAACTTTGGGTTCATCTGAGGTAACATTGGGCGTTAAAGAGTGAATTTAAAAAGAGGATTAAAAAAATTTGTATCTGCTAAACAATAATTATTATAATAATAAATAAGCATTCACAAGATATGCAGTGGGCTGAAAGGCAATTTTGGAAATTGAAGTTTGTAAGATGGGGAATTTCAGTGTTGCCAATTCACGGGCAAAAACACTGCATGGATAACAAGCCCCCTCCCTGAAGTCAATGAATCAAAAATGTCCGCTTCATTTAATAAAATTGCTAAAGCTGGTCTTTCTGAACTAACATCTGGCCAAAAATGATAAATTTATAAATTGGATAAAAAAAAAATTATCCGCTTACACAACCATAACAATCCGAGCCGCAGTTGTGGTGATGAGCTATTTTGAAGATTGAAGATAGAGATGGAGATTTTTAATTTGTGTCAAACTAATCAGTGTTGCCAATACACTGGCACACTGAAGAAACAACACTGCCCCCCACCCCATAAAATCTCGGGATTTCTCACTAACATTTAACAAAATGGCTGAATTTTGTGTTGCTCTGAGTAAGCAATGGACAGCAAGGTTAATTAAATTAACTGAATTAAAATTTTTTTATCTCTTAAACCTATACCAATCTATACGAGATGCAGAGGTAGTGAAGAGCCCCGATTAGTGGTTAAAGATTTTAGATTAGCACACAAAAATTCAGTGTTGCCAACCCACTTGCAGAAAAACTATAAGAACCACACTGCGATCCCCATAACGGGATTTCTCGCTAACCATTAACAAATTTACTAAAGTTGGTGTTGGACTGAGCCAGCATAGGGCCATGTAGGATTAATTAACAACTGGATGGAGACATGAAGACAATCGGCTAGACAAATGTAAGTTTACATACAAGACGAATGAAGAGCGATGATTGATGGTTCCAAGATGGTGATTTTACTATGGCGCCAAACAAATCAGTGTTGCCAATAAATATCAGAATAACCGGAACAACACTGCGCACGCCATAAACTCACGGGATTCCGTACTAACCTTTTACGAAAATTACTAAAGTTGCTATTCCTCTGAGCCAATATCGGGCCAGAAAGGGCTCAAACTTTTTCTGTCTATTTAAGATGTAGATAAATAATGCAAGATGATCGATAAGGATCAAAGGTAGTATACGATAATACAATATTAAAGCGCTTTCTTGTAAGATCCATTGTCTTTCGGATTATGTTATCTTTCGCAGTTTATGTGTTACAAGGTCACTTATGATAAAGAAAGTCAAACTATCAAACTACTTCTAATTCTAATGTTTTTCTTTTGTTACAGGAAAGGGAAGAGTCGAAAATAATGTCGGCACCGCCGGCGATGGTAGCTCCGCCGCCCTTCTCGCTCCCTATAACGTTCCCCTTCCCCCATCCACCCTACCCGCCGACGGCGCCCAACTTCCCGACGAACGTCCATCCACCCTCGTCGGCGTCCTCGCACTCCTCCGAATCCTCCTCCTCGTCCCAACAGACTTGGAGCTTCGAGGAGCAGTTCAAACAGGTCCGTCAGGCAAGTAATTTTCCATTTTTTATTAACCCTCTTTTTATTTCTTATTAACAATGGAGTATTTCCGACACCAAGTCGGAGGGGGCCCGGTCTAATTTCTTTCAACTCCTTTCGCAATTCGCCTGTGCATGTAACGGTTTTTTATTTCTTACAGCTCCTTTGCTTGTATCGTAGAATACAATAATAGAATCGGAAATTTTATTATTTGATCTATATTTTCGGTTTTTCCCCAAGTTCATTCGTTCAGCCCAGGGGAATGCATACTCTGCGCCCTTTCTCCCCAATCAATGATCTACTTCTTTAAAAAAAACATCTAGATTGAGCGGAACCAAGAAACTAGGAAACGTACAATACACCTATGGCTGCAGTGCTTGAGGAATACCAACCCCCCTTTTTTCTAATACTCTCCTCGTCATCATCATCATCATCATCATCATCTAGATATACGTTGATCCCTTTACCAGAAAAAGGGTTCAGGATCTAGAAGCATTGTCCTTTTTTTTTGCTAAGACATATGCTTGTGTCCCTCTACTCTTGTACTGAGGAGACCCAGTTGAGAGTCAGTTTTTCCAAGTAAAACCTCTTTCCATGCAAGAGATCTTTTCATCTCTACTTCTGACCCTAGCTCCAGTTGGGAGTCAGTTTTCCCAACCTAAAACTGCTTGGTTTTGATAGTCACCACGAGCTGTTTGAGTTTGCTCTGTTGGCATGATAGTTCATTCTTTTGCAAGGGCATTTTATTATCCTCTACTTCTGTCCTAAGACCCAGTTGAGAGTCCGTTTTGCCAACCTAAACTGTGTGGTGTTGATATCTACCATTCTCGAGCTGTTTCAGTTTACTCTGACAGCATGATAGCCCCTTCCTTGCAAGGGCGTCTTTTTCTCCTCTACTTCTGGTCTTAGGACCGTCTTAGAACGAGAAGAGTCAGTTTTGCCTACCTAACCTCTTTGGCTTTGATATCCACCATTCAAGAACTGGTTATAATTGCTGCTCTGATGGCTGCCTGATATCTCTTGATTGCGTGGATTTCGTCTTGAAATACATTCCCATTGCTCTAAATGTTTGACTTTGTGACCTTATTTCGTTCCTAGATCGATTTATATCCAAATCGATGTAGGGTTCTTTGCCTTGAAATTACAACGAAAAATAAACAGAAACTTATAAAATTCGAAAATATGAACATAAAAATTACGGTCTGCGATGACTGGCATGCATTTCATATGGCATGTTATATCCATTTATGTGTTGGTATTGCATGCTAGAAAAAAAGTGGCATATTTTGAGAACTTTGGACTATTGGAAAAACTGGTAAAGGCTAATCTCCGTTCGAAATCTAAGTTTATCACATCCGGACTCTTGTATTTCTTCTATAGTCGCTCTTTCACATGAGACGTTTCCGAGAAAAATAAACTAATATATTTTTACGATAGAAAATTACCCTCTATTATGATGTTGGCCCCGCCGGGTCACGAACGCATCTACCGGCCGCCTAGGCATTCGCCTAATGGAACGGGACTCCAGTCTCGCCCCTTATTCACGCCGTGACACCCTTCGTTTTGAATATGAATTGGAAATGTCCTATCATTAAAGTCCTTCTGCCCAATCATAATCATAAAACATCCCCTGTTGTCTCCACGGTAAACAAAACCTTCATCTACAAAACTTAATTGTTATTTCCTGGAATTAGCTTATTACACTCGGGAGGACGAAGGATTTATAATGCCTTTTAATTTTTTTGAGCTGGGAATCCTCTCTAGAAAATGTCACCAATAACAATACACTTAAAACAAACTAATTACGCAATTAGAATACAATAAGAATGAATTAAAACATGCAGTTTATCTAACAATACGTTAATTAACTGATAAAACGACCTACTCGCTTATGTTTCCTGTGCATTGTTAAAAACCGGCCTTTTAATCGCTTTCTGATGGACTGTAGGAATAATTTAGAGTGTAGAAGCTTTCAAAATCAAGGTGAGAATTAAAGAAGATTACTGTCAGGGTGTCTTCCTGGATTTGTCTATGTAAGTCGGATCTTGTTATCCTCATTCTCTGTAAGATTTTTTTATCCCTTTCTTGCCCAACGTTGCTTCAGGGCTACATCAAATTTAGCAAATTTGCTAAAGCGTTGTAATCCTATGAGTTTTGGGCGGATGCATTGTTTTTCCATCAATGTTTCATCCTGTGTATTGGCAACACTGATTACTTTGGCGCCAATAAAAAAATGTTGAATCTTCAACATAGCGCTTCACCTCTACTGCATCTTGTATCGATTGTAATAGTTGTTTCGCAGATACAAGTTATTTGAAAATGAAATCAAAGAAACACAAACTTTAGCAGTTTTGTTAAATGCTAGCGGGAAATCCGTGGAATTAGGGATAGGCGCAGTGTTGGTCCTGTTATTTTTCTGTCCTGTATTGGCGACCCTGATTACTGTCGTGCCAATCTAAAATCTCCATCTTGGAATCTTCAAGCTCCAATACTGCTCTTCACCATCACTGCATCTTGTATCGATTGTTATAGTTGTGTAAACAGGTACAAGAGATTTAACCCAGTTTATAAATGAACCATTTCTGGTTTAAGAGCCACACCTACATTGGCGATTTGTTAATTTAGCATCCCTAATTTTAGGGGGGGGCTGTTTTTTTACAGTTTGTCGTCCGTGTGTTGGCAACACAGAACTGTTTGGTGCCAATCTAAAATCTACATCTTGGATGCTTTAATCTTTAACATGGGTCTTTATCACCAACGCATCTCGTTTCATTTGTTATATTTGGCAAATACAATTTGCAATTCGTAACCTGTTTTTAACTCTTTCTTTCTAGTGTAATGTTGATTCAGAACAATAACGTTAGCAATTTGATTAAAGGTTACCAGGCAGTCCCGTGTATTTAGGGCGGGTGCAGTGCTGTTCCTCGGCTTATATTGGTAACACTGATTATTTGACGCCAATCTAAACTCTCTCACTAAACTCCGGGATTTCCCGCTAACATTTTAACAAAGTTACTAAAGTTCGTCTTGTTCTAGGACATCATTATACCTTATAGGTTTTAGCCATTGGCCCAGAGCAATCGTAATTACTGACAAAACTTGTCGTCCACTTATCGTAGTGTATTCTGCTTTTATCAAGTTCAAAAAAGTCACAATCTTTTTCCAGGAATACCTCACTTCTCAAGGACGAATGAGTCTGTGCGCCAAGGACGTTCGATTTCGTTGTGTGTTTTATTTATTTACATTTGTAAAACATGTTTGTTACTTTTCTTCCGACTCGGTATTCGAATTCGATTAATTGTTACAAAGATTTGAGATTGAAGATTCGAAGATGGAGATTTTGTTTGGCGCCAAATATATCAGTGTTGCCAATACCCGCGCAGGTAAACTACAGGAACAGCAATTATTTAGAGATCGTGAGATGCGGTTTCGGTGTGATGTAGGTTTAGAAGAACTCACTAACACTCTCAACACGACACACAACAGTGACACATCTACACAAAAAAAAAAACACACTTTGAGCGAATACAAATACTTTTATTAAACCTAAAATTTCTTTAATGTATACATCATTTTATAAATTCATATGTTATATGTATTTGTATAATTTAAATAATGTTTATAAATCGCAGGCCCTGAAGGTGGTCTCAGCAAAGATAGAAACGTTGACACGATAAAGAAAAGTTTTTCTAAACCTAACCACACCAGACCGCTTCTCACGATCTCTAATTAATCATTAATTAATGGCCACACTACATAACAGGAACGATACTGCGCCCTATCCATTAAAATTCACGGGATTTCTTATTAACCTTCAACAAAATCGTAAAAATGCATGGAATGGTTAAATTAAATTTGATTTGAAAAATTTTCTCTGTCTCAAATGTAACAATCGATACGAAATATAATTGGTAATGAATAGCCATAAATGGACATTTTACATTGCAACAATTAATCAGTGTTACCAATCTACGGGCTAAAACGCTGCAGGAACAAACACTGCGCCCCCTCCTAAATTACGGGACTTTCCGCTGATCTTTAACAAAGACTCTAAAGTTAATATGTTGGCGTTGTTCTGAGTCAAAATTTGGCCAGAACGGGTTAATTTATATACCGGATTGGTTCCAGATTTATAAAAGTGAGATTTTTTTATAGTGGTGTTGTCAGAAAGAGTAGGAAGGAGGCTATGACCAGGATCAGGAAGGAGGATAGCGCCTTGAAGGACACCGGAGTTCATTGGAGCTAACCATTTAATTGCTTATTTTCAGGTATGGAGAGGTTAGTCGGCCGGCAGACATTCGCATAAACTCTGTTTCGTGTACTTTAAAAGAGCGAACGGCAGTTCTCTAGATGAATTTACATAAAGAGAACAGTAGCGGATTCTCATTATCAAAAGGTCCTTCGGTTGTGGGCACGCGCCGGCACAGCCTCGGGCTTCCCATTCACCGGCTGTAAATTACTATTTGTAGGGAAAAAAAGTTCGCCTTTTCGGCTTCTGGTACACTTTGACAAACGAAAGAGGGGGAGAAGAAACACGAAAGGCCGAGGGGTTCGGGCTTTGTTCGATAAAATCCGTGTTCCCCGACCCTGGAGGCACTTCACCGGGCACGTGGACCCTCGAGGCCTCAACCTGTTGGCAGGTGTGTAAATGTAATCTACCCTCTGTCGGGATGAATGATCTCGTCGGATCCTCGTCCTTTTACCTTACCAAAAGCGTACTGTTTACAGCTGAGGGGTAAACGACGCTTAAAAAGTCGATTGTGTTCAATCAGTTCAAGATATTCTATTATCCATGAGTGGTCGAATTCCACATATAACCAAAACGGAAAGGATCGTGTAAAAATATAAAAAATTGGCGTTGAATGATTAGATACAAGCCCAATGGATTAGGGGCGATTAGAAGGTGAAAAATAAAAGGGGGTTGGAAAAAGGGGAGAAGAAAAAAAATCTCCTCAAAAGGGGTATCTTCAATCATTTATTGGAGTGAATCATCATGAGAAAAGAAGCAT